ATCCCCCCATGAATAATGACGCAAAAAAACGGCCCCCAGTCCCCGGCGGCCCCGCTATTCTTGGATACGGTGGCGACCATGGTAAAGGCGGGGCAGGGGGTGCTAAGAATCTCCGGTGGAGGTTCGGTTGCCACCTACGACGACTCGACCTGGCAACGTATAACGCACGCACCCTGAGGACTGACGAGAAGATACTGGAGCTGGAAGAAGAGGTAGACAAGTTGCGCTGGCATATTATTGGATTATCCGAGGTCCGAAGAGAGGGGGAGGATACGGCAATCCTCGAGTCCGGCAACTTGTTCTACCACCGGGAGGGCAACCATCTGTCCCAAGGAGGTGTCGGATTTATCGTCCACAAGTCTCTCGTCAACAACGTTGTAAAGATTGGGAGTGTGTCGACGAGGGTCGCGTACCTGATACTCAGAATCACCAAACGGTATTCGCTGAAGGTCATACAGGTTTACGCACCAACCTTGGCACATCCCGATGAGGAGGTGGAGGAAATGTATGAGGATATTTCCAGAGCCATGCATTCCTCCAAAACCCACTACACGGTGTTGATGGGAGACTTCAACGCAAAACTGGGCACAAGAGAAAGCGGTGAGCTGAAGGTGGGGAAATTTGGAGTAGGGCAACGGAACCGAAGGGGCCAGCAGCTGGCCGACTTTATGGAGAAAGAGGGACTCTTTATGATGAACTCTTTCTTCCAGAAGCGGCCCCACAGGAAGTGGACCTGGTCGAGCCCCGACGGTTCGACAAAAAATGAGATTGACTTCATTATGACGACCAGACGCCAACTGTTCAGTGATGTTTCAGTGATCGCAAGGGTGAAAACTGGCAGCGATCAACGAATGGTTAGAGGCACATTGAACCTAAAAGTTAAGTTGGAGAGGTCTCGTCTAATGAAGTCAACGCTCCGTCCCCCTCGTGCTCTAATCCAGAATCCCGAAACCTTTCAGCTCGAGTTACAAAACCGCTTTCAGTGCCTAGAGGATTGCAATGCAGTGGACGATATGAATGACAAGCTCGTGGAAACTGTCCATGCGGTCGGAGCTAAGTTCTGCAAGACCCGCCGCAGAAGAACACAAAAACTCTCCGATCACACTCTTAATCTCATGGCTGTTAGACGGGAGATGAGGCTGCAATCGTCAACAGATTTGACAGCATACAGGCAGCTGAACAGACAGATCTCCAAATGCATGCGGCGAGACTTACGCAACTTTAATACTGCTCGTATTAAAGAAGCGATCGAGCGGAACCAGGGCTCCAAAGTCTTTGCCAGAGATCTGTCTGCCAGAAGGAGCCAACTGTCAAGGCTGAAGACTGAGTGTGGCAACATCGTTTCCGGGACACCTGAGATTCTGAGTGAGATTGAGAGGTTCTATGGGCAGCTGTACACATCATCGTTGGAGCCACACGCAAGTGTGAGTAACGATCCAAGAGCAAGTCTTATCCGACACTATTCCGATGATATCCCGGACGTCAGTCTGAGCGAGATTAGAATGGCTCTCCACCACCTTAAAAACGGCAAGGCCCCGGGCGAGGATGGAATTACAGCGGAGCTTCTGAAAGCGGGTGGAACACCGGTACTTGAAGTCCTTCAGAAGCTCTTCAATTCCGTCCTCCATGGTGGCATTACTCCGGAGGCGTGGAGCAGAAGCGCGGTTGTCTTATTCTTTAAGAAAGGCGACAACGCTCTCTTGAAGAACTACAGACCGATTTCCCTTCTGAGCCGCGTCTACGTGCTATTTTCGAGAGTCATTACGAATCGTCTCGCACGCAGACTCGATGACTTCCAGCCTCCCGAACAAGCCGGTTTCCGAAAAGGCTTCAGTACCATAGACCACATACATACCCTTCAGCAAATTGTACAGAAGTCCGAAGAGTACAATCTGCCACTTTGCCTGGCGTATGTGGACTATGAGAAAGCCTTTGATTCCGTCGAAATTTGGGCGGTGCTACAGTCTCTTCAGCGGTGCCTAGTTGACTATCGGTATATTGAAGTGCTGAAGTGTTTGTACAGTAGGGCTACGATGGCTATCCGAGTACAGAACCAGAGTACGAAACCTATCCAACTGCAGAGAGGTGTAAGACAGGGTGATGTTATATCCCCGAAACTCTTCACCGCTGCGTTGGAAGACGTTTTCAAGCTACTGGACTGGAAAGGATACGGTATTAACATCAATGGCGAGTACATCACTCACCTTCGATTTGCCGACGATATAGTCCTTATGGCAGAATCGCTAGAGGACCTTAGCACTATGCTCAATGACCTCAATGGTGTCTCCCAACGGATAGGTCTTAAGATGAACATGGACAAATCAAAGATCATGTTTAATGTCCATGTCACACCTATGCCGGTAATTGTTGGGAGCACTATGCTCGAAGTTGTTGATGAGTACGTTTACCTGGGACAAATAGTCCGACTAGGTAAGTCCAACTTCGACCTAGAGGTCAAAAGACGGATTCAACTCGGCTGGGCAGCGTTCGGGAAATTACGACACATCTTCTCATCAGATATACCTCAATCTCTGAAAACTAAAGTGTACAACCAGTGCGTGTTGCCAGTGATGACTTACGGATCTGAGACGTGGTCCTTCACCGCTGGCCGTATGAGGACGCTCAAGGTCGCTCAGCGAGCTATGGAGAGGGCTATGCTCGGAGTTTCACTGCGTGATAGACTCAGAAATTGAGGATATCTGCAGTGAAACCAGAGTGACCGACATAGCCCAACGGATTAGTAAGCTGAAGTGGCAATGGGCAGGCCATATAGCTCGAAGAACCGATAACCGATGGGGAAGAAAGGTTCTCGAGTGGCAGCCTCGTACCGGTAGGCGTAGTGTAGGGCGACCCCCCACTAGATGGAGTGACGACCTGGTAAGACATGCAGGGAGTCGATGGATGCAGGTGGCTCAGGACCGTGCTTTGTGGCATTACTTGGGGGAGGCCTATGTTCAGCAGTGGACTTGTGAAGGGCTGTAATGATGATGATGGTGATGAAAAAACCAAGTTTCTATTGCTATACATAATGAAAAGTCTGCTTATTAAGTAATCCTCAAATGCTCTGGACCCACGTAAAACGACAAATTAATGTAAAAAATGAGCCAAAGTATCGCTGCCCCCTAATTAAAGTGATTCCAAAAATATAAACTCCAAACAAAAACAAAAATAAACAAAAATATCCCAGGTCCGGGTTCTGCTTTACAGTCAACTATAAATTACTATGAGACGAACAGATTTAGTTCTGCAATATTTGACTTTGTTCAAACTGACAATAACGCTGTTACAAAATTTTAAATAAAACGCTCTAGCTGTGGATGGTATCTCATTGGAAATGCTACTGTCGAGTCTCCCCCATTCCATAGGTGCTATCACAAAGATTATAAACATCTCTCTCACAACTAAGAGGTTTCCCACTCTATGGCAGATGGCGTTAGTAAGACCGATTCCTAAAAAAGTGAATATTACGGACTTTAAGGATTTGCGGCCAATAAGCAGCGTGTTCAAAATGGCTGTGCCCGCTTCTGTTATAAAATTCCTCCACGTGCCCATGTAACACCTTATATTAACAACGCCAGAATGCTTAAAATGAATTACCGTTGGCAACTACATTTCGTTACTTTATTGTTTGGTATTATTAAAACGAGAACACCCTCCTATCTTTATAATAAGTTACAATGGGCACGAGACAATGCTACAATTTCTTCAAGAGCTTCGGCGTACAAGTTACTCATACCCATACATCATTCTGCCGCATTTCGAGAGAGCTTCAGATATGCCGCAACTAAGTGCTGGAAAAACCTTCCAGCGCCTCTTCGAAACCTACAATCAGTGTACAGTTTTCGTATAAAATACAAAGCTATACTATTAAACGAACAGCTACGATCGTAGATTATCAATATAAAATTTAATGTTTTTATGCTATAAGATGTACATACATGTACTATGTACGTTCCAGTGCGTATAATTTTCATTTTCTTTTCTTTCTTTCATACGTCACAGGTGTACAATCTATTTACACTATTCTCCTTTCATTGCGCGCGTAGTGTAGATAGCCCTCAGGTTCTGTGATAAAACATGTTAAATGGATGCGGCAGCATGTTGTATTGAGCATATTTCTCGGGTTGCTATTGTGTTTTTTATATGAAATTTAAATTATTTTTATATTCTCGGTCCTAGTTATGCAACGAAATGAACATTAATAGGCATAAGGCAGTTGTGACCCAAAAGTAAATATAAAAAGAATATTCAAAATGCATGTAACTGTGTATGCACTTATATTATTAATCTAAATTAGTATAATAAGTAAGTAGAAAAAGTTTGCCCGTGTATATATATATATATATATATATATATATATATATATATATATATGTGTGTGTGTGTGTATGTATGCAATGTACTTAAGGTTGCCACTGAAAATCAGGGCTAGGATGACACATCTTAGCGTTTTATAAGTGGCAGTCCTATTTGGAACATTTCCTATAAAAAAGTTTTTTTTAGATAGCTATTCACTTTTTTAAATGTATTTTGTACCTACCTGCTTTGTTAAAACGATTTATTTTTCATTGTAAGTGTATAATTAAGTCTAGTTATAAGATTACCTATACAAAATGTTTGTTTTGAGAATTAAGTGCTAATTTGTTAAGAAATGGCCAAATAAATGTCTCTTTCTTTCTTTCTAATTATAATTTATGATAAAATAAAGTTGTCTATGATCTACAGCATCCACTAACCACCAGATGGACTGTGTGCTAGTTTGTCACCCATACTCTTTGAAAGGATTAAAGGTTAGGGTTAAAACTTATATAAAACTTAAAAAAAAACCTGAAATATATTTACATTTTTATTTTTATATTTTTTCTTAAGAGTAGCAGTTGCTATCTATACACAGGTCACGTTCAACTTATATACAGTAAAACATTTTTTTATTTTTTTTATAGATTTTGTATAAAAATATATCAGGCAGTATAGAAGCCGGGGTCAGAGGTAGTGGGGGTTCAGTGCCAGCCGTGTCCCTGGCTCCAAGATCCGTCTTCTGGCGCCGAGGCGGCTGCGTGCGCGGCAGCAGCATATTGGGAAAGGTGGGCGGCACGGGCGTGTTGCACCTCAGGGGTGTCTACGACGTATTGTCCGTCATGTGTGAGCTGGATGTGAGCTTGAGGGCCGTTCCATTTGCCGTAGCCAGCGGCATAGCCGCCTCCATAAGCAAGGGGTCCGGCGTAAGACAGGGGAGCACCGGCTCCAGCGTAGGCAAGAGCACCATGTGCGGCTTTAGCATGAGCGGCGATGTGGGCTGCCTTTAAGTGGGCAACCTCGGGAGTGTCAATCACACGTCCATCGTGCGCCAGAGGAGCGGGACCGTATTTGTAGAGACCTGTTGAATAAAATTTTAATTAGACCTTTTCTTCGTCATCAGAATAACGGCTCATAATACCAACAGCGAAAGAAAGCAGCTCCATGCTGCTGTGTTTCGTATGGTGTATGGATCACATCTGTTTAATAAAAAGTCATTAAAATCAGTTTACAATAAACGAAGATATAACGTACATACATACATAGAAAAGCAAAAGAACAACACAGTTGTGAACTTCTTTCTTTTTTGAAGTCAGCTAAACATATTAATTTAAAAATATGTCAAACGAACGAGTGATCGTTCTTACTTTTTATGGCCCTCTTCGGTTGTAGCGGGGATTTACCATCTTCTAGAGGTTTTATGTCTGGCGTAATCGGAATTACTAAACCGCCATGATGTGTTAAAAGTTATAAGAAATAATCACCACTTTCGACAAGACATAATTACATGATGACGTGACCACCACATATTAACTTGATGGTTATTAAAAAGTCTAGAAGTAAGTAACGTACCAGCACCAGGAGCACCATAGTGGGAACCGGCGGCGTATGCGGGAGCACCGAGGTACCCAGCAGCTGGAGCCCAGCCACCGTGTGATCCTGAGGAGGCTTGAGCGAGAGCCGCTAAGTGTGCGGCCTTAGCGTGGGCCACCTCAGGCGTGTCCAGCAGGTATTTGCCGTCGGGGCTCAACTGAACGTGAGCCGGTGGGCCGGCATAGAACGAGGCTTGCGCAAGGCAGAGGCCAGCGGCGAGGATAATCTGTGCGCAAATGTTTCGATATAGTAGAATTGACGATTGTTTTGCCTATTATCATACTTTTTTTTAATGGTAAAGGGACGAACTATCGTTCAGCTCACTTGATGGTAAGTGCTCACACGATCACTAGAGGAATTTCAGGTGTGAATAGGCTTTTTTTAAATCCTCTTGTCGTATCGGCCTGTATTCTCTCTACTACTCCAACGTGGCTACTGTTTGCTGGTCCTGAGTTTGTATCCCGCCGTCTTAGTCAAGATAATTTAAAAACAAAATTTTATTTGAATTTATTTTAAACATACAAATGGCAGATATATCATCATCATCATCAACATCGTCGTTCCAGCACAGTAAAGCTCACTGCTGAATATAGGCCTGGCCAAGAATATTACTTGGCATAGTTGGCATGCTGGCAGGCGGGTTGGCAACCGCGGCTTTTTATTTTTAAGCTGTTATCTGCAGGATGCTGTTGCCAATCGCCTGGTTTGTTTCCCTTTGTTTCTGATTCTAGTAAAATTTTATATTATTATTTAATTGTAACCGATTCTAAGAAATCGGATTAAACACAAAAATGAAACTAACTTGAGTATGACTTGCTTACTATTTAATGTTTTCTTTCAGTACTTCTTTAAAGGGTCTTAATTCATTAAAATGATAATTTTAAACGACATCCATAAGTTTCGGTTTTCCTAGTAATGTAGCCTAGTTTACGCGTTGGCATGTGAAATTTAGCAAAACTGATTTACTGAAAAAAATATAAATACCGTCCCAGATAATTTATTGTGTTTAAGAAACTCGTTAAACATCGTAACAAAGAAACAAAATTTTTCGTGTTCGATCGCCGATAATTATGACAGATAAAACGGATACAACTCGCAGTTTGAAATGAAAAATAAACACGAAGGTTGCTTAGTACGAAATTTACTAACTAATTTTATATTATTAAAACAAACATTTTCTTATAAAAGTGACGTAACAAATGAACTTACAGACCACCTGATGGTAAAAGGCTGCTGAAGTCAAAGTGCATGCTGATGACAAAGACAGCCTTACAGCCTTCCATCTTAGTCTCAGCCATCAATTTCTTATAATATTTTAATAATTAATTAAAATATTTTATCAATATGGTGTATATTACACGCATATGTATAATAAATTTAATTATTTAAATTATGTTAATGTGATTTTCTAGAGTGATAAATTAACATTAAAACTTTTAAACACTTTGTAACAGCGTCTTATTATGAAACAAGCGTGCGGTCACTTAATAGTTAACCAAAAAGAAACAGTTGTAGGTCTTAAAGAATCGATTTATAATTTATTTTCACACAGCTACTCCTAAGTATGTCGTTAACAGCACTATTATCCGCAAAGTTCTTGTAACGCGAATATGTGGTGATACATTTGCAAAGAGTATTAGATTGCGTATTGTACGCAACTCTATAGTATGCACCACACGATACCAGAATCAAAATCGTTGACAGCACTACCGGACCACAAGATTGATACAGTAGATATTATAAAATGAAATCTGAAACTAATCTATTTCTGTTGTCGATGTTGATAAATTGATTATAATATATAATTTTGAAACCGGCTATGATATTTATAATCGATATTGTATTTTACGCCAACATTTTATAAAGGATTATTTTGATATCTATTTATGTTACATCAATTAAAAGCAATTTTCTAATCATGTGTTTCCCTTGAAATCGGAAAAATTGCAAGTATAAAATAATTAATTAACTATATCCTATTCGCATACTATGTGTAATTAAAATGACCTAAAAGGATCGCATGTAAGACTATATTTCAATGTAAATGCATTCAACTATAGTCATAAACATCTTATAAGTTTTTATTTTACTTGTATTAACCTTCAACATTGTTAAGTTACTTTGCATGTATTCTTGCTTCTTCCCTACAACAGAGACATATCCAGTTGTGGCTACAACCTACTTTAAAAGGCTGACGATGATAAAGAAAAAGATGCAAGTTTTAAATGTCTTGTCGAATTTTCTATAGTTTTGCGTGAATATAAATATAAGCAATCCACTTGACTAACTCAATTGCCAGACAGGTGAGCGTTCGCGCAAATAACCTGTCATTTTGTAAACAATTGCTGGTTGTGCAAGGATCAATAAACAAAGTCTTACATTAGTCTATAATTTAACGTAGATTCGAAATGGAACATTATATTGTAGTCATGAAATATAAATATACTTTGTTTAAACACGTTAGCCCTCTCTAGCATTTTTTCCTATATTGTGGAGGCAGTTTACAAACTTAAATTGCACAAAAGTAAACATCTAGATCAGGAACAACTTTTTATAGGCCATACAAATACTTGTTCAGTACGGGATTCGAATATGTAATAATAGTCACCATTGTACAAGATAAATTAATAATAATAACAAAGATAAGGCATACATGAATATAGTCGATATAATTGAAGATTGTTTTGGGATCTTAGACAATTTAGAGGGCGTGGAACTAATATTCACCCGCCACGCCATTGGGGACTGTTGCGAAAGAGACATTTAGCAATAGTTTGGAATTATCATTTCGCGAACTAGTGCACTACTAGTTAACTGTTGCAAAGCGGATTGCCCAAGAGGAAATGGTGGGCGGTAGGAAGTTTTGATGTGAAGGTCACACATTTTTACGGTCAATGGAAATGGAAATTTGGATTTTGCGCTAAAAGCTAAAATTGCAGGGTGGATACATTATTGCACTGCACGTTTTATTGTTTCATTATAATCGAATTATGATTTGTAATTTGATTTGTTTTTGATTATATCTGTACTACTATGTACTTATTGTAATATTTAATTATAATTTATTGTAGTATTTCATCGATACATTAACATCTAAGGAGTGTAAAAAGCTTTTAGAAGACGGTGGTAGAGCAAAAACAAAAAATAAATGATGTTTTCTTTGAGGTCTGGAAAAGTTTATAAATAATCTAAAAATATTCTCCAATGGTATTAATAACGAAAATGTAAATTTGTACCATTTGAATATATTAAATGATGAATTAATATTCATCAATGCGCAACTGTTTTTCCGCCTACAGAAATATTTAGACAGCGTAAAGATGCACGTTTCGCCCGCCCATTGTAAGCTTAAATCGCAACGATTATACTTCAAATATCTATACATCCTTCTTAAATAAAAATATTTAAAATGCTTTTACGTTACTTTTACAAAAAATAAAACAATTTGTGCCAGCAGTAATGTCTTTTAGGGCTTCGTATCCATATAATAAATTATAAATTAAAAAATAGGCTAGGCTTAATTTTATTAAGAGAGTTATATTTACGATGAATATTAATATTGTGTTACGTAAAATGTAATTTTGCTATATACCAGATATAAGGAAACAAAATTATGTGTTGTTTTCTTGTTTTAAGATTATAATATATCATAAATGATTTATACGTACTTTGTACAACCTCTAAAACATCAAGGTACTTGCGATTAATCATAAATTACATAGAAATTTTCTAGATCAAAATAAACCTTGGCATGACATTTTGTTGTATTGGATTGGTATTTGGAAATTGATTTATGTGGCACCTTAAAATTACGAGTATAAAAGCGATATCTTAATAAATTTTCGTTCTAACTTCTATGACACTGTCACTTTAACTGATCATATTGATTGTTAAATATACACAGTTGTAATATTACTCAAATGTAGTTCGAGGCTCTATAATTTTCATACCTAGATGAAGTTAATGGCTGTGAATTTTAAACGATTTTCTCTTGCAAGTATTTCTGTATTTTTAAATTGTTTCAATTTTAAATGTACAATTAAGAATGTAGAAAGAATTAGATTTTTTTTGTAGTTTGATGCAGAGTTTTAGTTTCTAAGTGTATATAAAAAGAGATATATCAAAATGCATATTATGTAAAAAGTAAATTGAATATTATTTTTCACATATACAAAAGTTGATTTGAAACTGTGAATATTAAAAAAAAGAAAATGTTGCTTTAGCAATTTAGAAATTAACTCACCATAGACTGCATGATTGTTATTTTTATTTATAAGCAACGGAGATCTCAAACGAACTGTCGTAGGCGCTGCTGGTAAGCCAGTACTCGCCTAGAAAATTTCGCCTAAGTGACGTGTATTTGCAACCACTTCCCAAGTCGGAATGTCGATTGTTCACAATTTGCCCCTTTATATATGTAACACCCCGCTTCCACGGTTCGTAATTTGAAACAATTAACTGCGCGGCAAGTGTAACGCTGTAATTTTAATTGTAAGATGCGCACGCGTTTTTCACCCATAAAGTACCTTGTTGAAGAGGTATTATAAAGGTGAAATTTAAATGTACATTATTTAACAAGTAGCCCTAAGATTTAAATTTAATAACCTTTGTACATGTTAAATATGTATAAATGTTTATTTATAAAGTTATAAATTTTAAGCTATGAGTTTAAATTAATTGTAAAGCCCTTAATATAGTTATTGGTTATTGATTTGAAATAACGAAACCAATGTATTTGCAGTTAACATGGACGAATATTAAAATTATGAAAAGTTATCAGATTTTTGTTTTCTTCAAAAAATTATAGGTTTTGTCTCATTATTGTTATCAATAATGAGACAAAACCTATAATTTTTTGACACAAAACCTATCTTCTTTCTTCTTTATTTCTAGTTACAACTGAATATTGTTTCAAAAAGAATGTTATAGGTACTCGTATTAATGTTATTTATATATACTCATTTAAGTGAAGTTTTATTTGTTTTAAATGTTTTTGCTTGCTGAATAGTTATAAAAATTTTACTTTACCTCTTGCATATTTTTAATAGGGAAAATAAAGATGAAGTAATTAATAAACTAATTAGAAAAAAGATTTAAGATAATATTAGCAGAAAGGAAAGTTCTTAACTATTAGACGAATTGACAATGATCGCCTTACACTGTTATTTTACGCTCAGTTTCGTTTAAGGTATTCAGGTTTTTTAAAAGTTTTTGTTTGTTACTGATAAAAAAATAAATTTACCGTAATGAAATATTCATGTTTTATTTTTTAATATTACAAAATCTTATCCATCACTTACGGGTTACATACAATATTAATACGTAACTTTTTTCCAGCGAAAGATTTAAAATTGTATTTTAATACTAGATCAAATATTGTATTTATAATTTCTGGATCTACATATTCTTTCATAGTTTTTGGCAAGATCGTTAAGAAAATTTATCGATATTATTTATCAATTTATCCAACGTGATGACCTTGAACTATTGGAGGCTGACCCAACCAAAAAGTTTACTTCGGATATTAAAGTATGTATACAAAAGTCATCATATGTTTTCCCGATCACAACTTGTCTCGGAACAGTGTTGTTCCATTGAATCCGCAAGAACCCATTTTTTTCTTTTTATAGGATAGGGTGACAAACGAGCGCACAGTCCACCTGATGGTAAGTGGTTGCTGTGGCCCATAGACATCTACATCTATCCTCGATTACGAATCAAAATGCAGATGCGTTGTCACCCATGAGGACAAAGATAGAATGCCTCGATTCCAGTAAAAAGGGTCTCCGGTTCTCTACACTTACCATACGAAACACAGCAGCGTTTATAGTTATACTTATATGGGTTAACTAAAATACATAAAGAACATGTTTCTATTGGTCCAGTTGTGTCATATATAGGCGCATCAGCTTATATCCTTGCTAAAAAATTAAATATCCTCTTTCGGGAGATATCTGGACTCAACCCATATTAATATTAAAGATATTTATATTCCTCCTAAATCTATGTTGTTATCTTTAGACTTTGATAGTCTTTTCACAAATGTCCCATCCCCTGACTGCGTATTCTCAGTATTATTTATTTTGTTGGTTAAGAAAAATAGTTTTAAATTACATTTTCCTGATACCGGGATTCCCTCAATGAAGCCATACGAATACCTTAATCATATGATCCTGATGATGGTCCTCGTTCCGCATGTTTGGTTATAACAAAATCTCTAAGTATAAGCACTAAAGAAACAGCTTAGTATATAACCTGTACATAATTTATGAAAATTGCCTTTATCCCAGCATAGCTATTTTTGTAATCTATCACAAAAACGCAAGCAACTTAATATATTCAGACTACGATTATTTTAATAAAATACAAACATTAAATCTGTTAAAAACTCATCAAAACTGTGATGTTCTTCTTCTTTTTCATCAGCCCGTAGAATCTTTTTGGCAGTGACATGGGCTTCTCCAACTTTAGGAAGGATTTAAAAATAAAGTATAATTACAGCCTATATACGTCCCAATGCTGGGCACAGGCCTCCTCTCACTTCTGAGAGGACTTTTCACATGTCTTCGGAATCAGTTTATTTTTATTTTTCAAACATTTAGGTTTTCTCACGATGTTTTCCTTCACCGTCGAGCACGTTGTAAATTATCACTCAAAATTTCTATTAACAATTTCATTCGTGTCGGCGGGGATAAACCCAGTTTTCTCGCGTACTGTGAAATTTAAAACAAGTGCTAAGTCCACTGAGCTGCTACGACTTTTTGCCTTAATGAATTTGCGTAAGGTCTGAAGGGTATAGAGAATCAGTATTATTACAGGCTGTTAGGTACTCATCTTAGTTCTCAGAGTTGACGACACATCTTTAACCAACTTTGTTTAAAGTTGCCATAGACACCCACCTTAGACTGAAGTAGTCACTTACTATCATGTGAACTGTTATTTCGTTCGTCACATCAATTTTATAAAAATTTATGTTTTTTAAATAAACTTCATGCTTGGCAGCCGGATTGACGATCGCATTTCTTCAAACGATCACTAAGTCCACCTGATGTTAAGTGGATGCTGTGGCCTATAAACATCTACATTTATTCTCGACTAAAAATCAAAACGCAGATGCGTTGTCACCTCTAACGAATAAAATGAAATGTCTCGTTTCCAGTAAAAAGGAGCCTCCGGATCTCTACACTCACCATACGAAATATACACGTATTAAGCTGCTATTTTACGCTGGTATTCTGTGAGAGCATGGTCTTTCCCCGGTCGAGCTGACCATTCGTGCTACAACCGTAATGTAGCTGCAGCGTGGTTCTACCAAGTACAAAAGAGATGCATTTATACCTAAATCATTTTGGGAAGAACTGCCCTTTTTTTTTTTTTTTTTTTTATGGGGGCTCGTTTCTTTAGCGTGACCATCTAAAGCCATAAAATTCCTTGGCATTGTCGCCTCTTACGATATCCACTGGATCAAATGGGGCTGTGGATTCTCTTAAATCACCGCCACTTGGTGAAAAACTGTGATGGCCATTATGAAATGTTTGTGAGAATGTTTCACAACAATGAAAGTATGTTAAAAGAAAACTACTCATATTTTACATATTATTTTGTAATCAGCATTATTAGATTAGGATTAAAACTAAGCAATCCAATACGGTAATATATGCGAAGGTATTTATTTTCACTTGAAAAGACTTTTGTTGAAGGGCGTGGTATAGCCTATTTTGTGGTCGGCTGCATGCCATTATCACAGAGCCGTATTGCATAGTTTTGTAATGAATCTAGTTATTTAACATTATATGTTTTTATTTCCTTCGTCAATAAAATAATAATGATAATAAGGTCTGATAAACTATCTGAAACAATTTAATAATACGTAATTTATCATAATGAATATGGTGAGTATATTTATATATACTTATAATATGAAGAATAAATTTCATTCACCATAATCATTATTATAGTGAAATTATTTTTCCTTAAGGTGACTTATGAGATTTTATATAAAATATAATCATGATTTCAATATCAGAATCCCCCTACAGTGAATAATAAACTATCAATTGAGATATATAATTGTATTTAAAACTCCTTTAATATAATAGTTCAAAAATAATCGTAACACTTGGAATTTAATAGCAAGGTATATTAGTTGGTGATTTAAGACTCATTGAAAACTTTAGAGCGAGTAATTACATACTTAAATTATGTAGATAAATGCCTGCAGGGCGTTAAAATTACATACAAACTTCGAGGCAATCTAGATCGTATGCACTTGAGCTCGATTAGACGACGTTGAAGTCTTTAGTATGTACGAATTCCGGCTCTATGGTCAATATGTTATGGTAATATAATACGGAAAAAATTCTATATCTTCACAGGGAAATTAAAGTACATGTAACTAGTACAACAAAATTAATATATTTGTATAGTAAATTTGTTAAAAAATGTATCCATAAATTATCTTGGTTCAAAACAGGCGTTAATTATAAACGTATGCCTATTAATTTTAATACGTCTAAGAAATAAGGATTGATTTCCTGAATTAATAAAAATTAGTAGTTGCTAGAACTAAACAATATCTTCTTCTCTATATATAAAAATCAATTGCTGTCCGTCAATATCGCTAAATCTTAAAAGCGGTTTTACCGATTTTAATGAATGTTATTGTGTGTGTTAGAATGGGTCCTTGGATTTACAAGTGGACTCGGTAGGTGGCGCTGTTGTTGAGATATAAACGTAGACGTAGTTATATAAAAAAACATTGGTGACCGTATAGTTAACTGTTAGTGTTGTGTAACTTTTGAGCAACTTGACCGATTGAAGTCATATTCATACATTATGTTTATTTTGTCAAGACGGTAGTTCATATTAATGATAGAATCCGATAGGTAGTGTTGCAGTCAAGTTATTAACAGATTCTACATTTATAAACTAAAATGACATAAAATCCCATTATATTATACGTTTAGTACAAAAAAAAACACAAAAAATCTGTCCCCGATGGGCCCGGACGCTGTGATCGAGTTATTAATATATATTTTTGTATTTACACTGTAATAATTTTAAATAATCAACATATTATTATTAAGTGTCTGTGGAGAACGTTTTTGACTGACAGACGACACGGACAGGCAAAGATGATGACACGCACAAAATGAGGAGCACTAATGATGCTAAATAAATAGAAGTATACACACGCAACGTCTTGACAAAAAGCTATTAGCTGAAGTAAAAATCTTTTAATTCAAATCGGCCTTA